AGGGTGGCGAGGGTCCGAATCTCCACGGGGAGATCGTTCCAGAGGGCCGGAGCAGCCATAGAGAAGGCCCTCCCCTGGGGGGTCGACAGTTGACACTGGCTAGTTGATGGAATCTGGAGGAGGCCTAATCTGTGGCATCTAATTGGTCGTAGGGAGGTAATTGGCAGAAGGCGGTCTCTCAGGTACTAGATCTGGCCCACAGGACCGTCCTGGAAACAGTGAAAGACCAGCCTGTGGTGCTTCTGCCAGAGAAAATGGACTCCCAAGCACCGTTTTTGGCTGCCACAGCCTCCTGCAATCCTCTGTTAATGAAAAAGCTCTTGAACTCCGTTTTCACTGGCAGAGGGTTGCAGGAGGCTGTGGCAGCCGAAAACGTAGCTTATGAGCCTGTTTTCCCTGGCAGAGTGCTTGGGCTGCCACAGGGCCCCCGACAGGAGTGACGTCGAGCTGGCCACACCCACCTGGCCATGCCCACCCTGGCCCCCTGAGTTCAAACACAACCCTGATGCAACCCAAATAGTTTGACACCCCTGATCTAGATAAATAGATCTTATAAATTTTAAACTAAATCATCAGATGAACACATGACAAGCTGGAAGACAAAGCATACCTGCTATCATCTGTAGCCTGCTATAGTTTTTCAAAATGAACCTCTTTTTTGAGATTTCCTTGAACAGAACTTTCCTTTTTTCCATTTTGCATACACAATAATTGGTATTCAAAATCCCAATACCAAATGCACTATCATTAACCTCAACCACTTGCTTGCTAGTCTTGCCCTAATTATATTTTGGCTTGCATTGAATGGTATGGAACAGGTACTTGGAATTAACATATATAAATTGTGCTAAGTTAAATACAGATAGTCCTTAACTTACAACAGTTCATTGAGTGACCGTTAGAAGTTACAAGGGCACTGAAAAAAGTGAGTTATGACATTTTTTTCAAAGCATCCCTATGGTCACATGATTTACATTCAGATGCTTGGCAACTGACTCACATAAATGACTGTTGCAGTGTCCTGGGATCACTAATTTAACAACTGCAGTGATTCACTTAACAAATGCGGCAATAAAAGTCATAAAATGGGTCAAAACTCACTTAACAAATTTCTCACTTAGCAACATAAATTTTGGGCTCAATTGTAGTCATAAATTGAGGACTACCTGTATTGCAGCAGTGAAACTTGCATTGATCATGAACTGCCAATACAGTTAATACTGGAAAAGAAACCTATACGTATATGTTTAACTACTACCAGATGGGAAGTCATGTTAGAGTTTTGCAAAAAATACAACACAAAGTCTTGTGATATTGTAAAGAGTTAATCATTTATTATCACATAATAAATGGTTGACCACAGTCCACTTCATCAAATGGATCTATGCCACTTTATATAATCATGTTTGTTATTCTTCTAACTACTACAAGATTCTAAACAGAACCAACTATGAATGATATACCAGAATACATCAAATGTTAACTTGAGGTTCAATTTGTTGAAATTTGCAGACTTTCTACCACTAGAGCCCTCAACCTCCAAAACTGATTGTATTTTTAGTATTAATAGTTATTGTTTTAATTTTTTTATTAAATAAGAGAATATTAAATGCAAACTTATCCTCAGCATTTTTTAAATTAACAATACAAAATAAATTGTATTTATATAATCTATAAATTAATATATAATTTACATATTCATATATGTGTGTGTAATAACAACAACAGCAATAATAATAATATCATCATCATCATCGCACAGTCAGCCAGATGTTCAGTCTTGGTTTGGCATTTTTGTCTACCTATCGAGTCCTTACCGAGGACCTGGGATGGGCAAATCTGGATGTTTGATGGTGTTACAGATATTGTCGCAGGATGGAAGCAATTCCAAGTAAAGCTGCCTTCTGCAATTGACTGATGGCAAATTTGTCAATGCCTAGGGTGTTCAAATGGTGCTCCAGTTATTTAGGACTGCATCCAAGGTGCCTATTACTATTGGTACTACCCTTGCTTGCCTTTGCCATAGTCATAACAACAACAACAACAACAACAACAATTCTTCAATACAGGTATTCATGGCCTTAATTGTATTGAATGGTGGAAATACAATTAAGGCCAT